GCAGAAAGGGCCTTGACTCTGTGTAAGTGCTGCTCAGCAATAACTAAAACATCCTTGAATTATCAACTGTTTCCAGCACAAATCCAAAACATAGCCCTGTACTAGCTACTGTGAAAAAAATTAGCTCTATCCCTGCCAAAATCAGCACATTCTATAATTGGATAGGTGAATGTTCAGAAACATTTATTCTTTTATCTTTTCTGTGGAGGGGCAAAAAGACACGAAGGATGTCTTAGAATTCTTGAAATTTTGTGTCTGTCTCCTGTTCTTTAGCAGGTATCATGTTTTAATGCATTTCTAGAGACTTTTATAAATTTATTAGAGGAATTCACTAATTGTTGTAACATGAGGATTGGCTATGACTGCCAAGTTTAAACAGTATTTAGTTATAATTGTTTCCCGATAGATCTTTACATGTGCTTGTTCATAAGAGGCTATCTCCTTCTTCCTGTTTGTCTTTTAACTCAAAATTGTATAAAACCTGCTTTTTTTAATAATCTCTCTCCTGTAACAGTAGACATTCATGTGTTTGCAAATTAGACTGTACAATCTCTGTCTCTGTGCTTAACTCATTGCATAAACTTTTAGTAGCATGGGCTTTTGTCCCTATTTAATCTTCACTAACAAAGCCTAAAAAATTAAACTTGCTTGTTGAAAAGGAACAGAGACTTATTTTCACTTGTTAATTTCCTAATTTAAAACAAGCGCCAAAGACATAAAGCATAGCAAGCGCTGTTTGGTACTGTACTATTCAAACAGTTGACTTACTCTATCAAATAAATGCTGTCTTTTAGGTCTGTGAGAACACAAGTTTTTCATCACTTTCACTGTGCCTAAAATGAGTGGAGGCAGGTGCTGGTAGGGAAGGAGAGGAGGCAACTCATCCTGTCATTTGAGAATATCATACTTAGGAGTGAACTACACTGCTTGATTAGCAATACCCTGTTTCTGTGGAGCAACTTCATGGTTCTCTACAGCTGTTGGGAAGGCCAGTGAATGGCCATCTCTCATTAGATGTACTGCTCCTTTGGTTGCAGGAGATACACTGGTTACCTGTGTAACCAAGGCATCTTTGGACTTTCTCACAGGAAAAACGTGCTTACCTGGGGAGTGGTCTTCAGCCACAGAGCTGAAACGTTTAAAAATCTGAAGATTAAGTTGAATATTTAATTGTTCACAGCAAAAGATGTTACTGGTCTTGAGCAGTCAGCATACATATGTGCAGGCAAGCAAAAACCTTGTACTGTCAAGTATTTCTTAAGATTAAAGTTGCTGATGCATAGACAGATACTTTAGCACAGCTTTAATACTCCTAGATGAGTACTTGTTAGCTATAGTGTGCTGCAAAAGCCTTAAGATATACTTTGTATAAGATTAAAAAAGTTCATCTCTACCTGTATTCTAGAAGCACTTCTTTCTAATTCATCTGGATGATGATTGACAGGTGTACACTGGGTAACTCTTTATTACTTCAGCACTGTGAACCAGGAGCTTAGCCATGATTAGCTGGAGTAAGACTGTGCAGAACTCCTTTTATATGAGTTGTAAAACTAGCAGCATGATATCTGAAGGAAAATACTCCTATTCATGTTTAAACCCAGTAAAACACAAGATGTGTAAAAGCAAGTTGACTATTCTTTCTTTGGAAAGATTTGTAATAGAACATACATAGAATCATAGAATAGTTAGGGTTAGAAGGGACCTTAAAGATCATCTGCTTCCTCCTCCTGCCTTGCCATGGGCAGGGACACCTTCCACTAGACCAGATTCTCAAAGTCTCATCCAGCCTGTCCTTGAACATGTGATAAAGAACAAATGAGCTCATCAGCAACTGCTACATTCATTGAGGACAACATCATGTATGAAAGCTTTCACACCTGTACAGAATAAGATTTTGTTTGTGACAAAAACATGCTTATCTACATGTTCATGGAAAATGAGAATACGGTTAGTATGTCTTCCTTCCTCTGAACATAACCAGCGTTTTGGCTAAAAACTGGAATAACTGAAGTCATATTATTCACTTGCCAGAAAAATGAAACAAACATTTTTTTTCATATTGAGATATTTTAATAACATTTTTGATGGCTAATTCAGGTAAAACTAGTAATATTTTTAAAACCTTTAACTGAATTCTTGGGGGGTGGGGGCAATGTGTAAGTGTGTGTGCATGTGCATATGTAAGCAAAATAACTGGAGTAAAATGGCTGGTTGTGCTACTTTGTCATCTGTTATTTTTCTACAGACACACAAAAAAAGTTAAGTTACCGTGTTTTCCACTTTTGAAACTTCAGTGGTAACTTTCTTATGTGTGGTAAATAAACAGGTACTCAAACGTCTAAATTCCTTGTAATGTTTTTCTCACTAGTAAAAGCACCCACGTTTCAGTATGTTTCTAAGTTCTTGGAAACTTTCTTAAAGATGCTGCTGTTATGTAGTGGACTTCCTCTCCAGCTGTTTGGAGTGCATTTGGAAATGAACACATTAAGGAGTCGTTTGCATTAAATCTAACCTTTAGACAAAAATTTTTATTGAACCTCTTTTCTGAGTGTCATGGTTTAAGCCTAGCCAAGCAGCAACCACCACACAGCTTCTCCCTCCCCCCACAGTGGGATGGGGGAGAGAACTGGAGGACAAAAGTAAGAAAACTCATCGGTTGAGATAAGAACAGTTTAATGATTGAAATAAAATAAAATACTACTTCTACTAATAATAATGAATTGTAATGAGAAGGAAAACAACAAAAAAGCCCAAAGCCCAAGAAAAACAACTGATGTACCCGTTTACTACCTGCCAAACAACACCCAGCTTGTCCAGAGCAGCAATTGGATCCTGCTTGCCCTGGCCAACTCCCCTAGCTTACATACCGAGCATGACATCTCATGGTAGACCCCTTATGGAATATCCCTTTGGCCAGTTTGGGTCAGCTGTCCTGTCTGTGTCTCCTCCCAGCTTCGTGTAGAGAAGTATGAGAAGCTGAAAAAGTCCTTGGCTTAATATAAGCATTGCTTGGCAACAACTACAACATCACTGTGTTATCAACCTTGTTCTCAGCACAAATCCAAAACATAGCCTCATACTAGCTACTGTGAAAAAAATTAACTCTGTCCCAGCCAAAACCAGCACACTGTGTGAGGAGGATATCTCTTGGCTACTTAAGAAACTGAGCAGGAACAGTGTAATAATCTCTCTCTCTTACACCATGTGAGGAGAAAGATAAGCTGTAAAGGTTATTTATTTCTTTGAGAACATGCCCATCCTGTCAAGACAGATGGCAAGTAAGCAGAAGCCAAGCAACTTTGCTATGCTAATAATGCAGTATGGAGCATGGTAGTTTACGAACCCCTGTTCCCCCCCACTTCTCCCCAACCCACTGGGCTGGGTAGGGGTCTGTCAGCCTGCCAAGGTCAACCCACCATACTATTAAATGAGTTTTACCTGCAATCATGTTTGTCATAATATTCCACCTATATTTTATAAGATGTGGGTGTCAAAACCCTGTCTGTAAGTGGTGGCAGCAAAGGAATGGCTTCATTACCCAGTTTGGATACCTACAGCCTGGTGAAATAGGGGTGGTGGATAAGAGGAACTTACGTGGATACCACACACCAGCTACATATAGTGTGCTTGGTGCTGCTTGGCTTGAGAGGACTTGCACTTTGCTTCTTGGAAATGCACTAATGCACTGCTCAGAGCTGCCTTTGAGCCACAGGGCAAGCGGGAGCTGTGGAAATGCTGTTTATCTGGAGTACTTCCAGCACAAAATCCAGGAGGGATGGCTGTTATATGCCCAAGGTTACTGGTGCTTACCCATTTCAGCAGAGGATAGGCTTCATGGACCTGAAGAGTTCCTTGCACTTCTTGTTTTCAGGCCCAGTCACAAATTCATCTCTACTTGCAAAAAGCCTAGCAATTGAGGGAATCCTGCTCTCTCCTTGAAAGTAGTCATAGCGCCCAGGGGTATAGGGAGCAAACACCTTAGAGACTTTGTCTAGTGTGTTTACTATTGTAAATGCACAGAAGAATCTGTTATTAGGTGAAGCTGTGTCCAAGATGGAAACATCATTAACAAAGGGAAATGAGAAGGTGGTCATTTCAGAAAGTATCACACACAGAGAGGAAATTCTGCAGTTTAATGACGGGTAAGAACAGAGAGTTCAATTTTACAATCAATCAAGCATAATGATTTTTAACACACAGCTCTTTTTCCAGATATGTATAAAGTACAGAACTGTAAGCGTTTTCTAGCTCAGCATGCTCATTAAAAGTACCACTTTACATTGACAGCTTTCTGTAATGAGTGGAAAGTCCCAGAAGATGTTTTTAACAGTTTTCCTTTACCAAGCAGCCTTTGCTTTGTATCAGCTGACAGAGAATGACTAAGACCCTTTTGTAAATCAGACATGCCCGATTTTAAACAAACCCACCGGTCAGCAATGCAAGACTCACTGTTTCTGAGGAAAGAGATTGTTTTAAATCAGCTTCCTTGTTCCTCCCTTGAATTAACTGCTCATGCTGTACCACAAATGCTAACAGTCACCACTACTTAAGGTAATAAAGTTTTGTTTTGATGTTGCAACTATAAACATAAATCAATTTTTTGTAGGTTTTTTTTTTAATGAATACTAAAGCCAACTCTGCTCAGGATCAGTTTGGGATCATGTTATATGGATGCACAAACACACTGTAATTAGCAGGATATTACCAGTTTCTGGTTTGCAGAGGTGCCGTCGGTCTTGTGTCTCATTTTTTGCAAACTTGAGCTTCCAAGGGGCTAGAGCAGCATCAGTCCCTCAACACAGCTTGCTCTTAAGGTATGTTGCTGAGCCCACACAGCCGGGGAGGGGGCCAGCATCGTTAAGTACCTTGGTAAAATGGAAGACTGCAGTGTCTGGTGACTGTATCAGCAGCTGTTGTTTAAAAGAAATGGCTTGGGGCTCTTCCTCTAGTACTGAAAAGTTGGCAGCCTTTCCTCTGTCTTACTTCTCAAGCTGTCTTGCTAGGCCTGCATGTAGAACAAGGATGATGCGCTCCCAGAAATCTGGCTTGGCCCACAGCTGCAAAAATAATTCCTCTCTTCCCTACCACTACAAACTGACAGGTGAAAATAAGTAATACTTCCTAACAAGAAAATGTTGCAGGACAGATGAAAAAATGTTAGCTCAGACTCAAGGGAGTTTACTTGCACACATACTGTCTGTGCTCAATGCAGAAGTGTCTGGGAAAGACTCTTGGTGCAGTTTCCAAGCCTGTAAAATGTGATGCACTGTTGCAGCCACTGCAGTACCGTTTTTTTCCCAATGGAGTCAACATAGTATTCAAGACAACAGTGCTATGTTCAGGCACAGAAATATGAGTTGTTCAGCTACTCTACATGTTAGTGGCACTCTCAGACAAATACTGAGGATACAAACAGCATTCAGATAAGCTGTAGAACAGTCGATACAAAAGTGTATTGAAGAAAGACATAAACTTGATTTAGGCTTCAAGCAGGTGTTCAAAAATGAAGCACACAGTGACCCGCTAAGTTACGTAAGTAAGAAAAACAGTAAAAAAATTCTGAAGGGACAAACAAGCCTTTGACAACTGACTTCAGACTGAAATGAGCTTTCTGCTCATTCAGGTAGGTGGGACATTTTTAGGCAAGACCCTTCCAATTTTTTTGACAGTTTCATGTATGAGCTATACAGTAAATAAGCTACCAGCATACTACTTTCATGAGGGAAAAATTATGGCTAATCGACAGAAAGTAGGGCAGATACAGTATATTGCTTTTCAAATAAATAACAATCACTCCATCAGTAATTTGTATAATCAGTGTGTCTGTAACAGGCACTTTATTAGCATGCCAGAGACGCTCCATGGAAATAGGAATAATTCCTAGACTGCCAGGTCAGTACTTCACCACTACTACCTGTACAGTTCTGGTTAAAAAAAGAAAAATCCCATGAGAGAGAAAGACAAATCTTCCAAGAACAAGATACAGTAATTGGATCAGCATTAAGGCAGCATGTGGGAAGAAGGCAGCAAAAGGTGCTTGCTGGAGAGAAACTAGGGAACTAGCTAGGGATCAGTGAGCAGATGGCTCCTTTCAGCAATCCTTGCAGTGAAGCTGAGCAGTCAGTCTATTCCTCCTGCTGCCATGACACTTCTCTGTGCATACCACCAAAAGAGATGCTCTACCTAAGGAAACCTCAAGCAGAATATGTCAGCAGGCAGAGGGTCAACACTTGCAAAGAACCAAAAAGGTGCTTCTTTGTTTTTACGGTGCCATAAGAATTTTTGCTATTTATAAAAATGTAAAAATAAAAAAAAAAAATTTAAAAAAAAAAGGAAAAAAAGGACCCTGAGACTGAGACCATTTCTTGTCACGGTTTTGTTGTACAGCCAACCAGTTTGTCGTGGCCCCTGAAGGAAATGTTGTGGGTTTTTTTCTGGTCAATTGATGGCTGCTGTGTCATGCTCCACTAGCTGTGTGGTGATTGAAGGCCTTTGTAGAGGAAGAGGAAATAGCATGGAGGGAATGTGAAGAGTGGAAGTGTACTGCTGCTTTGGCTGTGAAGATGCATGTGCACAGCCATACAGCCTGAATGGATCCATGGTGCTTCTGCAGCCGGCAATCAGACAAGTTCCTTCCTGATTGGAGTGAGGCACTTGGGACGTGACCTGCTCCAGGGTCACATAAGGAATCAAGAGAACTGCTGGGACTGATGATCCTGGGTATCACTCCCTTGCCATTGGCTTTAGTGCATGCAGCGCTCTTAATTTCCTTGAGTCCATGAGCTAGACAAGGATGGTGCCAGCTGAAATATTTGGAAAGGAAAGGCCTCAATGTGAAGCAGATGTTGTACCAACACCTTCTGATTACCCTTAAATTTCCTCCAGTCCTCCTGCTTTCTTTAAATTTGTATCTTCCTTTTCTCCACCTTTCCAACAGCAGTTCAGTAGCCCGCAAAATGACTGTCACCTCACTTCTGTGGTCTTGGCTACTGGAACTTAACTGGTAAGCAGGGGAACTCTTCAGTTTTCCTCAGTCATGTGGAAGCAATGTGCCAAGTGCAAATTGTTAATTCAGCATATTTCAAATAACTTCAAAAGCACGAAGAAGGTGCAACTCCCTCCACTTTACAGACACAGGGAGAGATTAAGCACTGTGCAGGAGGCAGCTTTGATTTTTACCAGAGTTCATGATAAAATCCAATGCACTGCATCCCAGGTCTTCTGTTCTAACTGTGGTGCCTCTTGGGCTTTTTGTGGAGTAGGGACTTAAAAGTGCATGAGAACGATGTGTGATATAATGAACTGTAATCTATTGTAAATCTCATGTATGCTTAACACTTGCTCCATTTATTGAACTTGAGCATGAAGAAAGCATTCTCAAAGATGAGTGAAAGGAAGTGTAATGCAGAAAAGCAAGTGAAAGCGGGATGCTTCTTTATAGATACTGTTCACAGCAATTTGAAAACCAAATGACTGTGGAGCCCATGTCTCATTTAAAAAAGTGACTGGAGACTCTCCCACAGGAGAGCAGGGAGGCAGCACCCACTGCCCATCAGTGGGACTTAGGCTCTTATCCGTCTTTGGGTTTTTGAAAAATAATTATACCCAGTGAGTCAGTGAACAAGGGGTCCCATCCCAGGAGGCTTCAGGATGTACATTTTCTTTTAGCGAGATTCCAGCTTAATGTAGACTCCATTTTTCGGTCCAAGTGTGGCTTTTGACTTCAGCTGTAAAGGAATCTGGAGGAAAAAAAAAAAAAAAAAAAAAAAAAAAGCAAAGCATCTTCTGTACAGTTGTATGTATTTGTTTATGTGTGTATAACACCCCCACATACAGATAGACATTATTGCTGGGGGACCAATTCATACCAGGATTACTACGGAAGCTGTAAGGTACTTGTTTTACAGTCAGCTGTGGTAGTATAATATTAAATAGAATTTACAGCCAGAGGCTAAGGCAGTGGTTGCCCAAGTATACTCTAGATATGAGCAGAAAGAAATTAACTCTGTAAACTCTAGAGCTGCTGAGGTGCAATGTATATAGCAATAGGCACATACTAAAGTGCTGAGATCCCATGAAAGATGTATACCCATTCTCACCCTGTATAAATCAAGGTATTTTGATGGCAGTGCTACTGTACTGCTCTCCACTAAGGCAGGGCTGTGTAACTGTTTGTTTTGTTGGAGAAACCATAAAGTTTAAAATCACATTTTGATTAAAACGTGCAGTCCAGGTCTCTTGTCCCTCATTACAGAAGTGGCTCTAGCAGTTTTCTCAAATGAAGAGAAAGTCACAAAGGCAAGTCAGTCATCCTGGCTAGGACACACTGTCAGCTCCCTGAAGCTGACAAGTCTGGCCTTTAAGCCTCTGCATGTACAAACCTCAGTCTCTGGGCAGGTCTTAAATTGAAACTTCTGCAAAATCCTCAGCAGGGTCATTTTTGTCTCCAGCAAACCCATTTTCATGCCAATGCAGCCACGGGGTCCTGCCCCAAAGGGCAGGTATGCAAAGGGATGTCGTTCTTTCTTAGCCTCCGCTGTAAACCTAGAAGGTGCAGAGATGGAAACTGGTTCAAGAAATGCTTTTTTCTCCTGATTCCATATTTTTTATTTACATCTCAAAAGGTGGTTATTTCAACTGGTCTTAATGGACAGGCTAAGGAGACTGATAAGGATAAGATAGATTATGTCCTGATGGGACTGACAGTCTTAAGTAAACAGAAAATTTACTTACAGCCATCAGCCTTTGTCAGCTGGTGATTCCAGGAGAGGACAGACAGACATTAGTATTACTTCCAATTTATCTTTAATGAATTATCTTCATTTGATGACCATGCTGTTGCTATTTCTAGTAAGTTCATGTTGCAGCCTGCTAGTTTCCTCTTAGCTGTAATATCTCCCTCATACATTGTCCCAGTTTCAGCTGGGATAGAGTTAATTTTCTTCTTACTAGATAGTATGAGGCTATGTTTTGGATTTATGCTGAGAAGAATATTGATAACACACTGATGTTTTAGTTGTTGACAAGCAATGTTTACATTAAGCCAAGGACTTTTTAACTTCCCATGCTTTGCCAGTATGTTGGTGCACAAGAAGGTAGGAGGGAGCATAGCCGGTGCAGCGGACCCACAATTACTGGCTAAGGATTTGACCTTAGGTTTAGGATTGAGTAAAATCTGTATGCCAACATCTGCAAAGATGGATGTATACTGGACAGAATATGTACAGACAAGAGTACAGAGTCTGAGTCAATAGGGCCAATGCATAATCAACAAGGTGAGGCTCATCCTGGCCTGTGCTGAGTCACGGATCAGAGTGGTTCCTTAAAACAAGCAAGCCTTTACAGTGATGGCATTACCCTGGAAATCTACAAAGTACTGCCATGTCATAAGGTATTTGGAACTGTTCTGGTAGTACAGAACTACTTTTCCAGTTCTGTATGTGGAAGGTTCTGTCCTTCATGTATAGGGTCATCCCTAAAAATCTCTCACCTGTTTGAATACAGTTTGCAAGAACTTAAGACTACTAAGGCCCAGAGAACTCATGCAGGGTAGACAGAGATGAGAGGTAATACAGGCTATTTTGAGGTTTGGAAAAAATAGTATTGTATATTTCCACTAACCCCATCCTCATGCTTCAATATCCTAAATAAGATTGGGATACTACTGCAGAAAGTACTGTAGAAGCCCGTAATTTGAGACTGAGACATTAACTCATGTACTGAGCATTGTTGCATATCCCATGTAAACAGGTTAATGCAATTCTTGCCTTGCTCACTCCCATATATCATTCTGGTAAATTTAACGTCTCCCTTGTATTATTCCTGAGGCAGATTTCAAAACAAAATATTAGGGGAAAAAGGCTGTAGCTGAATTAATTTATTTTTTATTAAGCTCTTATTTTATAATTCTTACTAACATTACCAACTGACACATGCTGGGAAGAGTGTTGGTAATTATGCTTCATTCCTCAGGGAAATTTCAAAACAGAATTGATCTCAGATTCATAACAAATAACACTGTATGAGTCAAGGGGACTGCAGCCCCCACTATCCATTCTACCCTGGAATGTGCTTTCATACTACTGTTAAAGTGGTGAACAAACAATCAGGACAGCATTTCTGGATAAGCATTGCTAAAAAAAAACCCAAAAAACTGACTTCCAGTTATTGCTAAGATTCCTCCCCAACAAAAGCTCTGGGCTTCTCAAACCCTGGCATTGCTCTTCTTCATGGCCTAAGGTGCTTAATAAAGCATATGTCAAGGTCTGCTCCAGAAGAAGCATTGGGCAAACCCCCCTACACCATACATGTCTTGTCTTACTAGCAAAGATGGCTCTGGGCTGCCTGCCTCACACCTAGTTGTTTGTGGAGCATGCCCTTTTTTTCTTAGTAGACTTTTCAATGTAGTGGTAGCTTAAAATGCAGCTGCCCACTGAACAGCTGAAAATATAGCTGCCCACAAAACAAAACTGTGCTTCCACACAGCACCAACCATATCAGCTGAAACTCTCCCTCTAAGCTCAACTCAGCATCTGTAAAACAGGGCAGGTTACACAAACACAACTTGACAGTGCCCCCCACAGTTGAAGACAATAAATGCTCCATGTAAAAATATATCTTGCCAGGCAGAGCTAAGGACCCAGGATCCTTACTTATGGACAGAGAGCAAATTCCCAGTGGGAGATGGGATAAGTTTCCCCCACCCCCCCCACCACCACAGTGTACCCACACTGTTACAAGACCTCAGGTGAAAAGGCTGCTCTAAACCAGTCAGGAGCTGGACGAGTTTCCTGGGTACCTCCATGGCTTTCTCACTTCAGAATTTCTGCATCCAGAGGTGACACTATTTGCAGCATCTGATTTGGGAACAGGTCTGAAAACCTGCATCACATTTCAACCTTAACCAAACTGCACACTCTGTGGGATGTGCCACTATCACCACTTGTCTAATTTGGTAGAAATAACATATTTTATGACCTAAATTAAATTTTGCTCCTTTTGGTAGAAATACTCCTTTGGGTGAATAGCAGGTTACTGTGGCTATGAAGGAGCAGCAGAATCTGGTGTCTCCACTGGACAGGCTGGAGTCCTGTGCCCACCTTAATACATGAAACACCATTTAAGGCAGGCTTTTGATCTAAACAGGCCCAAATAAGGACTTCAACGTGAGAATGGAAAGCACTACTCCACGTACCTCTCAGGAATGAACTTCTCAGGCTCTGGCCAGAACTCAGGGTTGTGGTGGAGATGTCCAACTGCGGTTTCAATGACAGCCCCGGCTGGAATACGCTGCCCCAGCACTATGCAGTCCTTAGCTGCTTCCCGAGTGAACCTGCAACAGTAAGTGTCATGTATCCCAGATGATTAATAAAGGTGAAAACACAGCGGGAGGGAACCATGAAAGTCAATCTCTTCAGCTGGGCTGACCCCACGATTTCGGGAGTAATACTTTCCCAGAAGATAAATACAGCAACTGTTGCTGATGCTAGTGTCTTCTCAGGTTACAATCATGTCCACCTGGAAGCACACAACTCCAACCCAGATGGCTAACTTTTGCCCTTTTCACAGTAAAAGCATTTCTAGTTGCTTATGTTTTTTCCAAAACATTAACTGTTGAACTGCAATTTTGCTGATAATGTTGGTTTTAGACTCATTTTTTTGAAGAAAACTGCAGATACAATGTGTCAGTCACCTCTAATAACAGGGAGAAAGAGTATGCCTTTCTGCCTTCAGTAAAAAGTATACCAAATACAGGTTTTGAGTTTATTTGAGAAACTCCTCCCACC